TTGTCATTCCTGTGCTTGAGCGTTTGGCTTCCTACAGCAAAAAAGAACTGTGTATGACAGTTTGCTGCAGATTTCTAGAAGGTGAAAGGAAAAAGAAAGAGTCACATGTACACGTCAGATTCTTGGCCCGGGTGTGTCACTTTAATGCCGTACTTCTATTAGTGAGAACTGGTTTAGCTCCTTTTAAAAACCACTGCCCTGTGGATCTTGCATTGCTACGTTGAATAAATCTTATCAACCATCCATTTCATATAACCGAGGACCTTTGATTAGTGGCTGTCATGCATAAAGGTAAAGGTAAAGGGACCCCTGACCGTTAGGTCCAGTCATGGCCGACTCTGGGGTTGCGGCGCTCATCTCGCTTTATTGGCTGAGGGAGCCGGCGTACAGCTTCCGGGTCATGTGGCCAGCATGACTAAGCCGCTTCTGGCGAACCAGAGCAGTGCACAGAAATGCTGTTTACCTTCCCGCCAGAGCGGTACCTATTTATCTACTTGCACTTTGACGTGCTTTTGAACTGCTAGGTTGGCAGGAGCAGGGACCGAGCAACGGGAGCTCACCCCGTCACGGGGATTCGAACTGCCGACCTTCTGATCGGCAAGCCCTAGGCTCTGTGGTTTAACCCACAGCGCCACCCGCATCCCGGCTGTCATGCATGGCAAATAGTAAATCTTAATTCATAATTAAACCTGGTGTGTTCAATGACATGTAGAGATGTAAGTAACTCTTATAAAGACGTTCTGCTTTGAGGCTTCTGAAAGCTGTTAAAGTTTCCTTTTTGGTGGGAAATAGACAACTATTCTCTTTGGTCAGACACCCTGAATGCTTGTAATATTGCACAATGCAATATTAATTGCATAATTATAATTGTGCATTGTGGACAGAACAAGAGCCGGGACTCCTCGGCAGTTAAACCTCGGCTGTGACTCAGCTCCCCATCCCGTTGAGTCCTACTGCGTATCTCCTAAGACCAAATTGCTCTTTGTGCTGCTTTTAGAAGTGCCTTGCAATTCATGGATAGTAGAGGCCGCTCTATTTTGAACCCTGGATAAAAGGTGCAGACTTTTGAAAAAGTCTTAGAGAAGGTGTGCTTTTAAGTAAACAGAAATTTGTTCAGAGGAATTGTGTGCATTCCCAATGATGAATTTAATAGGAATAAGCTATTCAAAATAGAAGAAAGCAATTTTTGTTTTGGATGTTCATTTAAAATGGGGTGGATGGGGAACCTGCAGCTTTCCAGAAATGACTATAGCACCCAGTAGCCATGCTGCCTCAGTCTCATAGGTTGTCTATCCTACCCCCACCCCACCTTAAATAAATTAAATGATTTCATATGCTCTTGTGAAGAAAAGTAAGGTGATGTACTCTTGGGGATACTGCTGTGATGGGGACGAAACCTTCATGCCCATACTGACAGGTACAAGATTTTGTTTCAGGGATCTAGGAAAAAAACAGCAAGTGTCCAAACACCAAGTGAAAATGGAGGGGGCATCTATACATTTACAAGAGGGACCCCCCTCCCCTACAGAATGCATACAGAACCCAAAAGGGTGTTTTGTACTCTTATAAAAAGTTCCCTCCACACATACGACTTTTCAGGCGTTTTGCTAGTGTGAAATAAAATGCATTTAAATTCTGGCATTAATTTGTCGATTAGATTTATATCCTGCCCTATCACCATAAGGGCCCTTGGGGGCAGCCCAGGAAAACATCAAAATCAATACTTAATTACAGTTTAAGATGGCCAACACCATAGACTAAAAGAGCTGTATAAAAGAGTTCCAGGACTGTTCTCTAAAGACCCTTCTGAACCGTCAGCCTTCTGAGAGACTAAGGACAGCAAAGGACACTGATTTTGCTTCAAGGTTGCCCAGGCTTAATTGTAATAATAATAATAATAATAATAATAATAATAAAAGTACCCCGCCCATCTGGTTGGGTTTCCCCAGCCACTCTGGGAGGCTTCCAACAAAGATGAAAAATACATTAAAATTTTAGAAATAATTTTAGAAATAATGGCTGTCATTTAAATAGAAATGCAAGCCTTCAAAATGTTTATTCGGCTTTACGCCCATCATAAAGCACAACACACAAAACAAATCAAATAAAACAGCGGTCTCGAACAAGCCACAAGTAATATAACACAATTCACAGCTCACAAGGACAAATATTGGCAAATCAAAACAGAAATTTAAGATTAAAGTTAAAAATTTAGGCACTACGCTAAAATCAATATCTGATGTCAATATCAAAAATTCTTATAACTATCAATAATCAGCTAACATTCCATTCCGTCTCTTGTACGAGAGAACGGCTGTTAGGAATTTAGCAACCTGTAGAGTAATATAAGGATCTACATCTTGAAGAACCCAGGCAAGCTGTAGGTCTTCTGGTTTGTCAGCCATAGGCTGGATTATGGAGTTTAGTATACTAGCGCGAGCTAAACTGTACATAGGGCAGATAAACATAACATGATGTAAAGATTCAGATGTTTTCATTTCACAAGCACACATTGAAGGGACTTGGCCCTTAGTGAATCTATGTCTCAGCACGTTTGTTGGAAAAACATTGAACCTGGCTCTAATGAAGGCATATCGGTGAGATGCGGCTATAAGCGATGTTAAGTAGGACGGAGCACGATAGATAGGGGTTATGCCGAGATTTAACGGGGAGCAGGCTCCACCACCAGCTAAGAAATTTTGGTATAGCTCCACATCATCCAGCCTTTGATTTATACACCTTTTGCCGCGTTTAGATCCAGTTTGAGCAATTCCGTGGGCGAGATCTCATAGGACAGCAATTTGGCATGGATTTTTCCTGACCACAAATTTGTGAAGTCATCCCGCCACATGCATTGAATGAGATAGTGGTTCGGTAGTTTATGCCATAGGGATATCCAATAAATCAAAACTCTCCTCCATAAAACTAACTCCACTGAGGGGATCTTCATTTCTAAGCGAATAGCCGCATTACTTACGCATGTTGGTAGTTTTAAAAGTCGGCGTAAGAATTGGCTTTGAAGCGACTCTAAAGGTGAGAGGTTTGCAAAGGCAGCCCATAAAGGTGCAGCATAGGCCATTGTGGCCATCACTTTGATGCTATACACTTTCAAGGCCGCAGGAATGAATAAGGCCCCCTCAGAGTAGAAAAAACGGAGGAGGGAGTGTGATAGGGCTTTTGTCTTGTTTTGAAGATATTCAACGTGCTCTTTCCACCCTAGATTATATTGAAAATAAATTCCTAAATATTTAAATTTATGTACTTGTTCAATTTTCGTGCCCTCCAATTTCCATGAATATAATTTTCGACTCCTTGAAAATATCAGTACTTTGGACTTGGTGTGGTTGATAGACAGATGATTAGAATGGCAATATGATGCAAAAATCTTTAGTGCCCTCCTTAAACCCACTCTGGAGTAAGAGAGTAGTACCGCATCATCTGCGTAGAGAAGTAAAGGACAACGATAATCTGCTATACGGGGGGTGTGGATAGATTTTTGTGAGTCGATTAATGGGTTCCTCATATCACTGATAAATAAGTTAAAAAGAAGAGGCGCTAAAATACAACCCTGGCGTACACCCTTATTTACTGGCACTGGGTTAGTTAGGTCTCCAGCAGGGGATATTCTTACCCTGGCCACGGACCCGGCATGAAGTTGGGAGATAAGCCACAGGAGCCTTCTATCTATTCCCCAGCAGGCAAGTTTATCCCATAGTAATTGCCTCGGAATACTATCAAACGCAGCTTTCAAATCTATGAAGGCTGCGCAAAGTTGGCCCCGTCGAGGTGTCGAGTATTTCCGGGCTAAGTGATAAAGAATAATTGCCTGATCTGTTGTGGATCGGTTTAATCTAAATCCAGCTTGCTCATGCCCAATCAGGTCAGCCTCAGCTGACCACTTCATCAGCCTTGCCAGCAAAAAACGGGCATATATTTTCCCAATGGACGATAGCAGACTGATATTCCGGTAATTCCCTGGGTCACCGGGAGGGCCTTTTTTGTAGATAGGAATTATAATGGCCTCCTTCCACGTACCTGGTATTAAGCCCGTGGCATTTATTGCGTCAAACGTTTTAGCTAAAATCCCTGCCCACCATGCAGAATGTAGCTTTATAGCCTCAACAGGGACCAAATCTGGCCCAGGGGCCTTACCAGTTTTCAGCTCAGCTATCAATTCTAGGATTTCAGCAGGGTCGGTATTGTGCCAGACGGGAAGGGGATTAGAAGGTCTCCAGTGAGTGGCCGGAGCTTCTGCCACTGAGAAATATTTTCTCAGGAACTGCTCCCATGTAGGGGCCGGGATCACCGTTAAGGGGTATTTCGTGTTTCTTCCCTTTATTAAGGACCAAAATTTCCGGGAGTTATGAGATTTTGAGGTAGAAATTATAGTCTGCCAGCGATTTAAATGCCATTCCCGTTTGGCCGATTTCTGGGCCTGTTTGTATGCTTTTTTAGCCAGGGAATAAGATGGAGGTAAGGCCAGAGCGCCGGAAAGTTTATAGTCATTATATATTGTATGTAGATGGAGTCTGGCTAGTTTACAAGCAGAGTTGAACCAAGGGGCGCCAAATTTAAAATAATCGTTTTTAACTCCATAGCTTGGAGAAGTAAAAAAGCGAGTTAAAACTTCTATCAGGCAAGAGAAAAAATTCATACAGGTAATAGGATCACGCGGGACTATTCCTACGTCCGGCTGATCACCAAGAAACTTTTCTCGGATAAAATCCATATATCTATGGGCGAGGGCAGGGGACCATCTAATCCCCTTTATTTTAGTGGACGGCTCCACAATCACCGGGATTGGGTGGGAGCGCTCGAGCAGGTGCCAGTCAACACATAACTTGGTTGTCAGGGGAGATGGTCACTAAATTGGGCATTATCAATTTTAAAAGAGGTGACATTCAAAAATAGATCCCGAGAAACCAATACATAGTCAAGAACACTGTTTGATTTTAACCCCAGATGGGTGAACTCTCCTGGTATATCTGGAGGACACCTGCCATTTAATATAATTAAATTAAGGCGTAAAGCCATCTGGTAAAGCATCACTCCCGCCTTATTGACTTTTACATCCTTTGATATTCTAGTGGGGATATATACTAGATCGTAGGTTTGAGCGCCGGGGTCGACCCACCATTTAGACTTTATAAGAGCTTCCCGATTTGAGGCTATCCGAGCGTTAAAATCGCCTCCGGTAATGGAGGGGACATTAGGATATTTAAGATAACAAGAAAGTAAAAATCCTCTAGGGATTCCCATCTAGAAATAAGATCAGCTGCTAACCCTCCCGGGGGGAAATAGACATTTGTAACCAATAAAGAGAAGTTTCCACCAGAGATCAGTCCGGTAATAGCATAAGGCGGAAATGCATGCACTAGTGAAAGTTTAGCCCGAAGTTTAAGAGAGATACCAATTGTAAGGCCACCTTTAGGGCGGCCACCATTCATTGACGGGCTAGCAGGCAGACATATAAACTCAAAGCCATTTAACTCAATTTCCTCCTCCACCCAAGTTTCTTGTAATAATATGATAAAAAAGGAATTAATATATTTTTGGAATTCTGGATCTGATTTTTACTTTTCCATCCAGCAATGTTCCAACTTAATATTGAAGGCTGGGGTTTCCTCGTTCCTCCAATTGACTGTCATTCGGAAGGTTGGCTCAACTTTAATACGGGACGAGGGGAGCCAATAAAAAAATCAGTTATCTTCCTCTGATGAGAAACCTCTCGTAAAAGCTGAGTGGGAGGATTAACAAGGTTGTCTGACTGTTGAACTTGGCCACTCGATCTACTAGGAGTAGGACCTTGAGCAGGGGCGGCCCCCTTTTCCAAAAGAGTTTGGTGGGCCACCCGGAGTGGTCCATCTATCTCGTCAGAAGTTTGGTCTCTCTGTAGTCTGCTACTAGTCTTTTGGGCTACTTGATTTATGTGGCCTGTTGGATCTTCAATCAGTTCCGTCACTGGTCTTGTTATTGAATCCATAATACTCCGCAAAGAGGAATAAGGCTGGGCGAGTGGGCTATTTAGAAAGGTTGGCAAAGGCACCTCTTCTCTTGATTGGTCAGTGCTATAAGAAGGTTCCAAGTCTGGCATCGATGAATGTGTAGAAGGGGATTTTTCCTGTTGTGTGCTGCTTTCTTCAGGTATGTTTATCAAGGGACGGTCATGTAAATCTATTAAGAGCACGGAGGGTTGTTCTGGTTGGAGGGAAGGACTGGTAGTTGCTTCTTGGGGTTGTATCTTATCCTCCATTACCGACATACATTTAGCATTAGATATTGCGATATCCATATGAACTGGTTCTTCTAGGATGTCATGCTCGCTGTACATAGGTATTCTGGTGCTGAGCTTCCTGATAAGTTGGGTTTTAAGCGATTCGAGTCTATTAATAATTTCTTTTTGTTCCACCGCTGGTAAATCTGCAAAGGAGGCAATGAGTTCGATCTCTTCTGGTGGTGTCAGGCCACTTTCCGGATGGTCGTTGTTCTTTGCTAGGGGAGTGGAGGCCACTTGACTCATCTCCTGGAGGAGAACACCCACTCCGGTGGCCACTGGTGGATCGGGTTTAGCAGATTTTAAGTCCTCTTTGATTATTGCCTCCAACAGTAGGGGTTTAGGCGTAGGGTCTATGAAGGCTCTCGTTGGTGCTATACCACAGCGAAACAAAAAAGCTTTCCTTCGTAATATGATAGTGGGAATTTTTGTGGATTGGAACGCAAACAGGACTCTCTGTGATTTGTGATGATAGACAAGGGGGAGGACTGCACAGAGGTCAATCTGTGTTGCCTCCATATTTAAAAGCACCATTAGGAGTTCCTTGGCACCGCCCAGAGTTCTCCATCTTGGGTCCCCATTTTGTATAGTTAGGCACACTTTCCTTGGTGTTAAAATCAAGGATTGATGACCTAATTGAAGGTTAAGGTTGTATTTAAATTTGTCAGTACGTTTGTTATTTAAGGACAAACTCCTCGTCCCCTTCCTCTCTTCAAGAGACTTAACACCGGCTGACGCTGGAGAGGTAGTAACTAGCTTTTGTTGGAGGCTGTGCAGCTGGGACGAAAGATCATCTAGTCTTTTGAATATACAGTGCAAAGTTTTGATTATTAAATGGGACTGTTCAAATGTCATATGATTGGCTGTGCCAAGGACCAGTTCCTCCTTCTGAGGAGAGGCTACACTCTTACTGTTGCCCACATTGCTTGTTATTTGAGGTATTATTCGCTCTTCGTCTTTAAGAGCTGACACGCAATCAATCAGAGGGTTAAATCGGTTCTGAGTTTCTACCGTGTAGGAACAATCCAGTAGATTACTCCCTTCCTTAAAGTGACATGGTTCCACCCTTGTTTGCTTTGATCTCGGAAAGGGAATGGGGACTGTCTCCTCCGAATCTCTAAGACGTTTCCCATATCCCATAATTCAGATATCGAGTAGAGGGGGGATAGTATTTTAACGTCAACTAAATATTTCCTTCAAGCCTGCCAGCACTTGCAGTGGGGGTATATTTCACTGCCTGTTCATATGAAAGTCGGCGTCTTCACCTTCACCCTCACAGTCCAGCAATTTAGTTCGACAAGGAGACTACCGGTAAGCAACACAGACCATTCCTTTGAAGTCCTACTCCCACCAGGACTAAGACTAATATAAAATTCTCCTTCGGAGCTTATCACAGGGCCCACCGTGGGTCGGTCTCAGATAAAAGGGAAACTCCCGAAGGCCTCACCTGTAGTGTTGGTTTCATAAGCAGCAGTTATTTTCAAAATACTGAGGCTGATAAAAGCTGAATAAAAACTGATAAAACTAATAAAAACTAATAAAAACCGCACAACTGCTGCGGAGCTCAAGTCAATGCTTCCACTAACGACGCCATCTTGGTGCCTCTCTCAACCAGAA